CCCACGGTTAAATCGCCTTTAAAATGAATTGTGTAACCACAATCAGTTCTGGTACTCCCTCTCCCCTCTCCCCTTGGTTGCTTGCTCCAGAAATCCCCCTACCCTCCCTATTTCTCACCCCCACCCCCTACATCCCTTATAAACCCTTGCACCTGTTATTAACTCAATGCATCCACTCCTCTGCTTCACAAACTGGGAAACCCAACAGAAAGAATAAAAGCAAAGTAAAAATAAATTGGCAAGGATATAACAATAATACTAATATAAAGATAAGACTACAAATAACGAGTAATGAAGAAAAGACCACCCTCAATATTTAAAAAGCCAGGGAAGAAATTTGTGTCATGGAACACGCAAGAGATCCTTGCGCCTAGAAATTCAGATTGGGCCAGTAGGGAGGTCCACTGACCAACTGTTAAGTTCGAGCGAGCATAATCGAGATTGCAATGAGCTCTGTCTGGTGGCCAGGCTGTTTGAGACCCTTGCCTGTGGCCAGAGGGGACCCGCCAGCGGTTTAATCTGACTGGATCCTCTGCATATGGGGCTGGGGCTCCCACTGTCTTCCTTAGCCTTCTACAAATTGGGTGTTCAGAATTCTAGCTCTGATAACTTTTCCCTTCGTTGAATTTTGTTACTGTCATCTTTGGGCCACACAGGCTGGTGTGTTTCTTCCATGTGGGCTTAGTTGACTCCTCATGTTTGGTTTGTTTTACACACTAATCTTTTTCTTCAAGTTTTCTTCCCAAGAGATGCCTTTCCTGATCATAGCCCCAAAGCAGTGGTTCTCAACCTTTCTAATACCACGACCCTTTAAGACAGTTCCTCATGATGTGGTGACCTCCCAACCACAAACTTAGTTTCGTTGCTACTTCATCACTGTCATTTGTCTACTGTTATGTGAAAGGGTCATTTGACCCCCAAAGGGGTCATGACCCACAGGTTGAGAACCGCTGCCCTAAAGCAACACCTCATGCCAGTCAGCCCTGGCAGCAGTGCTGAGCTCTGTCGTCCAACTAGAGTGTGAATTTGGACAATGCTTGTTTGATACTGAGTCCCCTAAGCCGGAACTACCTGGCACGTAATGTAGTAGGTGCTCAGTCAGTGTGCTCTGAATGAATGCAGCCCCATCCCTCATTCATTCACCCATTCACTCATGTATTGGCCACGCTCAGTGTCCCCAACTGGTGGGCAGAGCCACACTTCAAACACGAGAGTGCGCCCGTTGTCCAGATGGGGAAGGAGAGGCTCGGGGAAGAGGGGGGGGAGCGGTTGCTGGCAGAAGGGCTGGGCCCAGCATGCATGGCCTTTGTGTCCTACAGGTTCCCTCAGTGCGGCCATGGAGGCCTCTCTGATGAGCCCACAGTTCCATGTGGTCACTCCTCTGCTGGAGAGCTGGGCACTGTCCCAGGTGGCGGGCACCACTGTCCACCTCAAGTGTGAGAATGTGCAGCCGGCCGGCTCCTTCAAGATCCGGGGCATCGGGCATTTCTGCCAGGAGGTGAGGAGGTGGGGAGGGAGGGCACAGGTGAAGATGGATGGGGAGGGGGTGTGGAGGGGACGGTGAGGAGGTGGGCTGGATAGGGGTAAGGAGAATTGGGGATGAAGAGGGTGGGGGTGAAGAGGATGTAATTCTGTCTCAAACAGCCTCCCGGGCTCCCCGGCCCCATCTCTTCTCTTCCCAGGTGGCCAAGAAGGGCTGCAAGCACCTGGTGTGCTCCTCAGGTGACCGGCATGCCCCTCTCTGCTTGGTGGGGTCCTCAGGACTGCGGGCAGGGGAGGAGGGGCTGATTGATAGCAGTCTTCTTAAGGAGGCTGCGTTTGCACCAAGCTCTTGAGCAGAGGCGGGGCTCCTCCCAGGTCCTCACCCGTCCATCAGACGGGGCTCATGGTAAAGGAGAGAAGCCCAGTTCCTACCGGCTTAAGCCAAAGCAGAGTGGGTTATGCGTTGGGCTGTCTAAGCCGAGGTCAGTGGTTCGAAACCGCCAGCCAGCTCCGCGGGAGAAAGATGAGGCGCTCTATTCCCATAAAGAGTTACAGTCTCGGAAACCCACGGGCAGTTCTACCCTGTCCCAAAGGGTCGCTATGAGTTGGAATCGACTTGATGGCAGTGAGCTTGTTTGTTTTGTTTGGAAGGGCTGGAAAGTGCGGGGAGGAGTGGCTTTCAGGCATGGCTGGATCCAGGGCACGTCCTTGGGCTCTCACCTCTTGACTTTGCTTTCCCCGGGGTCAGTTTTAGCTCATGAAGCCCTCGGGGTACCAAGATGACCTCCAAGGGGGTCCAGGTTTGCACCCAACCTTTCC